GCACCAGTTTCAGTGTGTTCTGTCGTGTCTCTTGAGAAATTTTAAAGTATGATGCAACAAAATGTAATGAACCTGATGCAACTTAAACGGTGGCAATTTCCATGGCTTCAGTTGTCAGGAATGCCTTTGCACCTGCTTACTTTGTGTTTGCTGCACACACATGTTTAGTTGTGCTTTGCAAAGGAGCTAAGCTAGCTAAGGACATAGCTTTGAAGCCCATCCAATGTTTTCTTTGTCTTCCACAGCGACGCACTCACAAATCAGGCTTCTGCGCAGTCTGAAGAAAGACAACTACCAACTCCCGCTGCTCATCACGGACTCAGGGGTGCCCCCTTTGTCCAATAATACAGAGGTCAAGGTTCAGGTTTGCATCTGTAATAAGAACCGGATGCACTGCAGCTCGGCCCACTCCCACCGTGCCAGGTTTCTTGTGCCGCTCGCAACGCTCCTGCTCACCTTACTCTGTAAGTACATCGCAAACAACTCCCACAACAACAGAAAACTCTGTTTTTTGTGTGTTTTTCATTTTCTCCTCAGTTCAAAAGTGAATTCCTGCTGATTCCAGAACAAACTCGGGTACAAAATCAATGCAGACAAACATCGAGCATCATTTTATTTAGGAGCAAAGCAGTTTTTGCACTTATGTTCACGTGTAAAGAAAAAGGATTTGAATTCTTTGCCTGGGAAGAATACATCGTTTAATTCAAGATGCACAAGTGTGTCTTGTACATTTTGTGTTTCTATATTTCCTGCCTACAAGCCTAAGGCGCTCCCAAGGAAGTCAAACTTGAATTTACTCTAAATATCTCATTTAAGCCAAGTGATGGTATGAATAATTCAGCCTTCTCCATTTACAGCACGTACGTAATGGAGGACATCCAACAGCTAGTTTGGTGAGAAGAAAACTCATTTGCATCTTTAAGGCCCCAGATCCCGTTCCCGCTCAGTCTGGGCTTGTTCTCTGTAGTTTATAGGCGAGCTCGCTGTACGCCGGCGGCTGTCTACAGCAGGAGGGATGGTGACGGAGTAAAGCGAGAGAAGGAGATGATGAGGAATGAGAGTGTAAAAAAAAATAATGTGATGGATGGGAGGAACAGAGAAGGGATTTCATTTCAGCGCTGAAAGATGGGTAGCTGTAATTATTCCATCTTTGTTCTGCTAATTTGTGTTTGACTGTAAAATGTTTTACTTGTGATCGTGCGACAAATCACAGCCATGCTTCCCTTTGTCCTCCCAGCTCTCTCTGTCTTCTTCTGCTGATCTTAACACATCTTTCCTCCCTTTTTCTCATCTCCTGTCACTCCTGTCAAACTCTCTTCCTTCAGCCTCCTCTGCCACAGTTTTTTGCAGCACTTGTCTTGTGCTTCTCTGTTTAGCCCCATAATCCTTTGCTCGTGGGCAGCATCTCTGCTGTTCTTCTTCTAGCTTCTAGCATGACTCAGTGATCTTCCCATGGCTATAGATCAATCTGTGGATGCACATCTTTTCTCTGAATACTCCTAACAGATAACTGTTACGTGTTACAGAAAGCATTGTTTGAAGTGGCGCCTGCGCCCACTCTTCATCTTCTTCAGATTCAGCTACGTGCACTCAGTTACCTGCAACTTCTTCAACTCGTGTTAAGTATTAAATTAAAATGACGGCGTGAAGCGAGCGGCGGCATAAGCACACCGCACGACAGCGCTGATAGGCCATTAGTCGCGGTTTCGCTGCGACACACTAATCACGAGCTGATGCTGCATCAGCGTTCAAGGACAAACAGCCACCTCTTGGAAAGTTTTATGGCAGCGATCCTGAGACTATCCCAGCTGGAGCAGTCAGGTACGGGGGGTTTCCATGGTAGCACAAACCTGTGTCTGAACTCGAAGCCTTCTAATTGGTTGACATGCCAAAGACGATGTTAAGAGAGTCTTTGCAAGATGTCCTTTTTGCACTGAACGACAGCAGCCTTCATTACTCTACTGTAAATAATGCAGTGATAGACAGCGGCATTCATTAACCAAATAG